TGACTTTTTAAGGCCATAGCTGTAAAATTAATGAAATGAGAATACTGCCTGTAGCCACGATCTTTCAGAGCAGGTCACATGCATAAAAGATTATTGGGTAAACTACAGAAGCAACTGGTCTAAACTATTGCAGCAAGGGGTGATTAATGGAGACAGAACAAGCCAGCGCTGAGGTCAGAGTTCTCATTTTGCTAGAAAATGCAGTAACGTAAGCCCATGCAGTTCCTTTAACCTGCTCGGTCCTGTGACTTAACCTTTGGAGGCATTTCTATTGCATTTATTTAAAAATGAGACCTTTTAAAAATGGCCTTTTGTGATATGCTTTGCAATCATTTAATTTTTAGAGTTTTGTTTTGGAGGTGTGAGAGAGCAGCAGTCTTTGCACATCCTCAAGCAGTACTCCATATGAACAAGGCTGGCTAAGGAAATCGAAATAGATCTGAAGGTGGCCACTCACGAGCCCCTTGTGTAGACAACACAATGCAAGTTTACTGAGAGGATCCCGATTTTTGTGTTCACACAGCATATTAGTGTTTAGCTTTTAGCAGTAGCCAGATGTGATGTAGATCTGTTGCAGTGCATTTCAGTTTTATCTTATCTGAAGAGTGTTATTACTGGCAGAGACACTTCAGTACTTATACTGTAGCAGTTTTGGTCAGTCTTCAGTAATACAAAAACTCCCTCTATCCTCATTTGTAATGTTTAAACTAAGTGACGAGTTTTGCCTACGACTGAAGAGAATGCTGGGTGGTCCATAGTTCAGAAAAAGAGCTTATTAGCAGAAAGTTCAAGCACTGACTGTTCGGATAACTCACTGACTCAAACTGTTTTGCCATGAGTAATTATACTGAGCCTCCTGGTCCTCGGTCCTGTTAGTGAGACAGAAGACTGAAGTCCTATTATAAATGACTGCAGTAGCAAATGTCTGTGTGTAGTTCACACATCCTAGCCTCTGGAAGTGCTGTAGATAAAAGAGTTGACAAAATAGCTCATTAGAATCACTTATACAGTCCTTGTAGAAATCAGACATGAGGAACAAGTAATAGGTTTATTCCCTGCTGAAAAGAGAAGAAAGAAAACAAAACGTTTCGCCCGTGAAGCCTTCTTCAGGTGTGAGAAAGACAGGGCAGTAAGCACACCTTTTTAACACCTGAAGAAGGCTCCATGGCAAAACGTTGTGTTTTCTTTCTTTTCTTTTCAGCAGGGAATAAACCTATTACTTGTTTCTTTGCAGCCTACGCATACTGATGCAGCTCCCCACCTGAACAAATCAGACATAGCTACAGTACTTTGTGGATGCAAAAAATCTTGCTTGGGCAAAGTTTGTGCCACAGTGAAATCACATTCTCTAGGTGCTGTTTATCATGTAGAAGAGCAGAGCAGGTCTTGAAATCTCTAGCAGTTTAGTGCCTGTGTATAAAGTGCTATACAGTAGGAGAATCCCACTCTGTAAGACATTGTTTCACAGCAGACTAAGCTGGTACTGTAGGTCTGAGGTTGTGATGTTTTTATTTTTCCGCATGCCAATGAAGTTTGGGTTTTCTGTTTTTGTTTCCCGTTTGTCAGCAATATTTAGGATAAAACAAGTTTATTAAAGCTTAATTTGGCTCCTGCAATTTGCATTTTTTTGATAGTTTTGGATTTCACTTTGTTTTAGCTTCCAAAATAAATATTGAGCTGATCAAAGGCAGTCATAAGTGAGGCAAGATATTTAACAGTTAGAGGACAAAGTTAAAACTACTTTTTAAAAGTGTGTGTACAAAGGAACGTTGCTAATAACTTACCAAGCTATGATCAACTTCACAGACATAACTGGCTAAATATCCACCATCCTTAGTGTAAAGAATTTTCATACAGTATACAGTATGTGTCCTTTGGATCTTTGTTTCTTTGTTGAACTTAAAGAATTCTGTTCAACATTTTAAGTTTCCATACAACTTCCCACCTGCACAATTCAAGATAAAGATTTTTTTTAATTATCACTGTATGCTTTCAAAACATCATTATAGGATAAAACAAATGACACCTGACAGTGCTCATCTTAGCAGGAGCGTTTGCTTCAGATCAGGAGTGGCCATTCATGTGTAGGTCATTTTGAAATTGGGTTTTGCAAGGAGGTGACTAATTGTGGTAGTTTGTTCATTTATGTAAGAGACCCAAGAGTTCACTGGAAATTGAGTGTCCTGCAGCTCTTCAGTGATGCAGTTGACTGCTATTGGCTTTACAGAACAAATTGCTATTGATTAAAAACACACATTGGTTACTAGACTTTAAAATATTGATACCCTGTAAAAGCCTATTGGGTCACAGTTCACCCTGCAGTGTTGGCTGCCTTGTGACAGAGCTCTCATAGACGAGCTTGGCACAGAGCAACTGTTAGTGAAAATTCATAGCAAACTTTTGACCAGATTCATGTGTCTCTCAAAAGACATTCTAAGACATAAGTCCACGATGCAGTACGTCTTAGAATTAATTCTCAAATTCATTTTTATAAGCATCAAGAAGTAAAAGGCTCAGACTGAACCATTTGGTAGCTGGGGAAATGGCAGTGCTGCAGATTTATCCCCCTGAATTATTTTATGAGCAATCAAGTCCTTTAATGTGGTTGCAATTGTGCGTCAAGGTCAGCATATATAACGCCATTTTTTCTCTGCTAATGTGCTGTGACTGGGGTGCAAATGCTACATTGTGCTGTTGCTGGGCATGATTACTCAGCTTCCACATGATTGCTTTCGGCTCTAGTTACATTTTCTCTTTTCTCTGTGGTGGAGGTGCACTTTTTAAATTAAACAGGGAATTTGTCATCTTCAGTAGTATCTTGGTCATCGATGGCTAATTGCTCTCATAGCTGAACATCACGAGAACTATTGTAACTGCTAATTGCTGGCCCAGGTAACTGTAATTATCCTTAATTGATGTTTAAGCTGTGTGCACCTCTGGGTATGCATGGCTCTTGTTACAGTGATACAATCAAGACTCTGATGTCTGGATATTCCTGTAACTTACAGGTAGCTGTATTTTGCCAGTGTAGTGAATGAATGCACAGTCTGTACAATATTGCAAAACATGTACCCATTGGTTAGCTGGAAAATATTTAAAGTCCTCAATAAATAATTGCTACCTCCACCCTAATCTAAGCATGACAAATGTTTTTTTTACCTTTTATAAATTACAGGCTTCCTTAATATTTGCTTGCAGTTTCCTTAGTATGGATTTGGATATAATAGCTATCATCATTCAGAATCACCGCTCGACCTTTCTTACACTACAAGGTTGTTTTTGTAAATACAGATGAGAGATTTTCCAATTAACTGAACCAAATTGCTACCAATATAGGTAGCAAAGATGTAGGTAACTGTGCATTTTGATTGGGAGTAAAAGGTGTTCAATATGATTGATTGGAATCATTAGCTGGCAAGTATTAACAATTTTATTACGAAGTGAAAGTAATTTTAATATAAAATTGCTTTGTGTTTGATCCAGTCCAACAATAAAATCCTTAAATAACACAATTTCTGCTTGTAATGTGCTGATTAATCAATACAGACTATTGCAGCTGTTCTTCCGTTTTAAGTGTTAATCACCTCTGTCGGTTCTCTTCTCTAAAAAATAAAAACATTAGAATAATCGCATAATCAATACATACAGTATAGACCTAGCAGATGATCAAACGAGTCAATGGATTACCTACATTACAAAAAAGAAATCTACAATCCTTTCTAACCATTTCAATGTGTCTTTGCTCTGGAAGGAGTGTATTCAAATTGCCAGATTTCAAAGGGTAACATTAGTTTGCTCACTGTAATGAATACTGTTTAAGATGATGGTTTAATGAATTTATGGTAAGTGAAAATATGGTTATGAAATAATGTTTTGTTCCAGATAGGAATAATGAGGCCACACGGTAGAAAATATTTTTTTATACACTTTTTATATAGGCACAGTGTATATTTTGGACCCAGTGCAAGAGCAAAACTGAAAGACTAAGATACTGTATGTTATAACTAGAAGGTCATAGGCCTCAGGTATGTCATTAAAAAGGATTTGTCTCAAGCTTTCCCATTTTGCAGAGTTTTCCTGTTTCCTGTAGCAGTGAAATAGCTAACAGTCAGACCTGCTCAGCTTTGATGTTTTTCTTTTCAGCTGCTCCATACAATACAACACTCCATATATCTCCTAAGGCCTAATTCTTTTCCTGGAGTTGACTGAAGACCTTCATCAACTACAAATGTGGAGCAAATGACTCCCAGTAGTACCTGCCTAAAGTTTGTTTCCAGATGGGAACAAGGAGGAATTTTTTATGTCTCTTCAGAAATGTAAATTGTTGTGTTACAAACCATAGAATGCTTTTTTGCACATCCATCAATTTTCTATCTGCGTCATCCAGTTCAGGGTCGCAGGGGAGCAGGGTCCCATCCCAGCGAACATTGGGCTCATAGCAGAGGACACCCAGGACAGGACGCCGGTCCACCGCAGGGCAGACACACAGACACACACACACCAGTGGGAGGAGAGCAGAGCACCAAAGGAAACTCACGTTAACCTGGGGAGGACATACAAGCTCCACACAGACAGGGCTCCTGGTTCAGAACTGAACTCAGGGCCACAGTGCTGCGAGGCAGCAGTGCTAATCACTGTGCCACACTTGCTGTACTGTTTTCAAGTAAAATTCAAAGTAGTAAAACAGTTAACAAAAAGTTGTGATTTGCTTTGTCATTTCTGATGAACAGGTGGAGAAATTAAGAGAAGGCTCACCCGGCACATCAGGTTTTACAGATCTCTTTATATCTTTATCTGCCTTAGCTCTCTGAAAAGGGTTAAATAGCTTCAGTGCATTATTGGGTACTGTCCTTTGCAGAGTTAAATATACAGGAGGAAGGATTAAACAGAAGAGCTTGTCGTTCTCATGAACAGGATATAAAACACCAAGAGCTGTTTGCCAGGCAAAGCCATCTTCCGGTTTGCTTCCCTGTTCTGACCTGTTGTCTCTGCCCACCCAGGAACCATGCGCCCAGTGCAAAGGAACTTCTACGACCCGTCGTCCGCCCCTGGGAAGGGTGTGGTGTGGGAGTGGGAGAACGACAGCGGCTCCTGGACGCCCTACGACATGGAGATCTGCGTCACCATCCAGAACGCCTACGAGAAGCAGCACCCCTGGCTGGACCTGACCTCGCTGGGCTTCTGCTACCTCATCGACTTCAACAGCATGGCGCAGACCAACCGGCAGAGCCAGCGCAAGCGCCGGCTGCGGCGCCGCATGGACCTGGCCTACCCACTGACCATGGGCTCCATCCCCAAGTCCCAGTCCTGGCCCGTGGGGGCCAGCTCGGGCCAGCCCTGCTCCTGCCAGCAGTGCATCCTGGTCAACAGCACCCGCGCCGCCTCTAACGCCATCCTGGCATCCCAGCGGCGCAAAGTCTACGCGGGAGCCAGCGGGGCTACGGGCACCCTCACCATGGTCCGTCAGAGCAACACCTTTGCTGGCACCTCCCTCTGGGCGCCCCCTTCCTCCGGCACCGGTGTGGGGGGCCCAGCCAAACCCGAGCAGGTGCAGTCCCCCCCGCCTGCCGCCACCTTCCCCCGGCCCCACGTCCTCCCGGCCCTGCCCGCCTCCGGCACCATATCCGGGCAGAACAACCTCAACCGGCCTGGCACTCAGCGCACGGCCATGGGCAGCACCCGAGGGGCCATTCCACCTGGGTAAGAGCTGGCTACCCGTCGCATGTTCCCACCTGGGTTCTGCCCTGCTCTGCAGCAGAACCAGTGATACTGAGTCACTGTGCCCTTAGGTCGAGCTGCGAACATTGAACGTGACACTGACCAAATTATTAGGTTCCACCAGCAAATGGCATGATACAGCCCTGCAAGCAGCAGAAAGAGCTCAGATGCCCTGTTTGTCTCGCAAGGTCTTCTTCAGTCTATGGCGAGGGTAGTACGTGCTGTTCAAACTGTGCATTCTGCTAGGTTTCAGGAGGACTGAGATCTGTGGGTGTTCTGGCTTGGGAAGATACAGTAAGTCTGCTTCTTGCTTCTCATGACAGCTAGACTTTGCCACTGAGGAAGTCTATTCCTTTCACTGGGATCCCTAATATTTTGGCCAGTGAGTCTATATCTGATTATTTGAATAGTGTTTTTGGGACAGGTTTAGAGTGGCTTTGGCTGAGATTATTAATTCGGTACACTGAAGGGAAACAGATTCACTGAGCACAGAAGACTAGGAAGTCTTTGCTATTTCTTTTATTACTTCTAATCACATGCAAAACTAGTTTTAATTAGGATAGCATCTACAGTATGTTTCCTTAACAGACATAATGCTTCAACTAATATGGAAACTCAATGCATGAGCTCTCCCCAGTCATTTTTACGCCCAGTAGACTTAATTCTGATTATTTTTCCATGCAGCTCTAATCTGTATGTTTCGTAATCACTTTACCCACAATTGAATAAAAAAATTGAGATGAAAACATTGAACTATGTTTTTAATCTGCTATCAAGAACATTTGCTTGTGTGTGACATCTGTTCTGTAAAATGAGGCAAATACAAGAATGGAATTTCTGGCTTCTTATACGATAACGCTTTGCAAATGTGTTTGCAGAGAAATCGGATTGTGTCCAATGAAAGATTTAATCTGCAGAACATCAGAGTTGTCAGTTACAGAAGTATTCCCAGGAGTATATTGCTCAGTGTTTTCGGTTTCCTCTCTGATCTGAGCAAATGAACTGATACTAAGAAAAACAGATATGTATGTGGTGCCATTTAGACATGAAAGACGAGCGTTCATGCACATATACATGCACGTTCAGAATTTCCCCCACCACATTCAGGCACACTCACAGATGCACACACCTTCCAAAGGTCTGTGTCAAAAGTTCACTCTTATACAATCTGAGATCCGCAGAGCCAAAGCCCTTCGTGAAACAAACTGAGTAACACCTGTGCGTATTCACACTCTCTGTGACTCACAGGAACAGACATTTTGCTGCAGCAGCACAAGTTGATACAAATCCAGTCTCGGACAGATTTAAGCCTTTACACATGAGATACAGTAACCCACTACCACGTACACATGTGTACTTTTGTCTTACAGTATATGCACTTAATCACTCTTACCAGCAGTTCCTATATCTGTGCATTTACACACCATGCAGAATTTTGAGTGTTTTCTGCTGCATGAACTAAAAAGGCATTAAATATTATACAGCAGTTTCTCTTTTAGCCGAGTTCTGCTGGTCCATAGCAGTATGAAATCCTATTCGGCTCCCATCATTTACTTTTACCTACTGTAAGCATTTCAAGATTGCTGTGTAATGAAATAAGAATAGTAGAATTTGGACTTTCTCAGGACATTTAAAATTGCTTCCACTTTTCTTTTTTAGTTACTCATGAAACAGAAGTGTCTATTTTATTTTCGATGTGCAAAAACATTTGTATGAATTTTAAGAAAGTGCAAGTACGATATGAGCAGTTTGTACAGATATGCTATGGACACTCATGGAACTGGATCACAGGGACTGACACTACACTCTCTGGAAATTAGGTACAACAAATATAATGATTTATTTCAGTTTTGGTGGGTGTCTCAGGCATGGTTTCTTCAGCACATGGAAGGAAGAAAAAATGGTGTATATCCTGCAGTTAGTGTATAATTGGAGTTTGAAGTTCTCATCACGTATGGTGAAGTTGAAGTTTGGATCAAATGACACTCGTCCAAACAAATTTTGAGACTATACTGTTTTATCATTAAAAACCACAAAATGTTTTAATTCAGAACCAAGGGTGGTTCCTCTTACATTTGTGTCTTTTTTGAGATAATAATTTCCATTTATTTGCAATTGAAACACATCCAAGAGGTAACTGGTTTGCAAACCTGCTAGTTTTCTCTTTCATTCTTCCAGTAACCCAATTTAGCCTCAAGTGTTGGAGCTGTATTTTCACCAGGCTGAGCTGATGTGTTCTGCAAGAGTTTTGATAACAAATATTATTTCAGCATTAAATATGTATTTGTATGCTGTCTGACACAAAAAAAATCCAGCTTTCAAAATCTTTATTATTTGTAAAAGCATCTAGAGTTCTTTTCTTAACTAAGATACGGAGATCTCTTAATAAGGCAGTCATTGTTGTTTAAAACAAGAAAAATAAACATAGAAAACATCAAACTGTACTTTATAATATCCAGGCCAAAGGACGGTCACTTTGGCCAGCTGTACTCATTCTTTCTGGTGGTCATATCATCTGATTGAGCTCAGGCATGTCGAAAAGGAGAATCGGAATAGTTGTTGCAGGTCAAAAACAGCAGTGAGGCAACACTTCCCCGCAGTGTTTGGATAGGCATAAGTGCAGTCAGTCATTTATGCTGCTGTGAATAAGGAAACAGAGCTGGGCTTGACTAGCAGCTGCATCAGGTAAAGAGACTATTTAGCGATCCTGTAATTCTAGTTGAAAAGCTTCTGTAAGGTATGTTGGTGAAGGAATTGAAGAAAATGAATTTCTAGTGGTCATTCAGCCTCTTGGAGGGGTGTGCATTCAGCGGAGTTCTGGAGCCTGCAGCCCACAGCCCAATCTGTCTCACTGTAAGACTTTAAAGTAACTGGGGGGTGAGATTTCAAGGAATTTGATTAGATCTCATTAATTAGATCACATTCTTCTCTAACGAGTCAAGGTCTTACTACAGCAGCAGAATCTTAGTGTCTTGTCTTTTCTTCGGGGCTTAAAAAGCAGAGTCTGCTTAGAAACGCATTGTGTTTAATCTCGTCTCCAAGGACCATCATCCTTACTATGAAACTGTTGTTCCGCAAGTGCAGTGTGTGACTGTAACTGACAGAGGTTATATAAGAGTTGGCTTAACTGGGAGAAAAGAGGGATTCAAAATCTCATTCATGTACCCTTCTTCTTTCATGTAAGTTATGGTACCTTGTGTGTGTTTTCCATTCTAGCTCCTTAATTGCAAAGTCTATTTAATGCTATATTTAGGTTTCGCTCCAGCCTTATTACAACAGTGTGATTTTGCCTTTTACTCCATGTGTATTCTCTGTTTGACATGATTCCTGCAGGAGGAATCCTCTGTATCCTCTGTGACTGAACATCATGATTGCAAACACAGTCCCTTAAAACGGAGAATGGGGAAGTCGCTTAGGAAAAGGGATTGCTGCTAACGTAGGAAAAAATCATGTCCAAACTTCTGCACACGTGCACGTCCCCTGCCTTTAACCCTGCTAATCGAGTTGACAGATGTGCACAAGTTAGCTTTAGAATGAGGCAGAGGTGTCTCACCCTGGAGCAGCTGGGGTCATGCTTAATTGCGGTTGCAAGGCCCCTCATTGAGGAATGGAAACAGAGCTGGACTGGATGCTGTCCAATGGCCGGGAGTGGGTTGAGCTCTCTTCTTTTTGCATGTCTGCAGTAATTACCATCATGTGTCTGTCTCCCCCCTGCCAAGTCAGATTAACACATAAAGGGATTCTGGCACATGTGGTAGCCTAAAACCCTGATGTTTCTTTTCATTCAAACCCGAGTACAGAACCAGGACAACCCAGTACTGATGAGTGCCTGCTCATCTGGTGTAAATGCTCTGTAACTGATTTTGTGTGAAGGTCCTGTTTTTGTGAGTAGCCATTATTTTTTGCCTTTGTGGTTTTTCTTTTACATGTAATGGGATGGACTTAGAGAGGTTCTGCCGGACATCATGCAGACCAGACCAGAAAGCATATCAGATCCTGGATTTATGGCTGACGAGGCTAAGACTCTTAGAGCATGAAAAGACGAAGGGAGTTTGAAAACAGTGAAGGTCAATTCTGTCCTTCCGTCTTAAATTACAATCAGAAAAGTTTAGTAACTGGCTAACCTGTATGAAATATGTGTCCTCTCTAAGGCCTGATTTCACTTTCTGAAGAAATATGAAGTAATATTACAGTACATTCTACAACGTACTATTGCAAAGTTAAGGAAAGGAATGTAAGAAGAAAGATATATATTCCATGCATTGGCTTGTCTTGTAACCCCTTTTTTGATTAACAAGTTATCAAACAGTGAGTTTCGGCTGGAGAGAATAGACTGGCTTTCTAGAATAGACTGGGTTGCTATCAGAAAAGGCCTGTACAGTGTGTGACTTTTACAGTCGTTCCCTGCCTCATCCCTCATATGCTATGTTTACAACACAGATGAATCAGCACCTTTCTGTTCAACTGAGACTCTGTTTTGCTGGGTATTTTAAAATAGACATCGAACTATAAGAAACAGTGTCATGCGCAAACTGCTGGGCGATTTGGGTGAGTCAGCATTCAGTGGGCAGGAGTCCTCTCTCCTCCTTTCTCTGTGTGCCTCAGCGCTGATTTACTGCACTCCTTACAAGTGGATAGATTTGCCTGCAGAAAGTGAAACAGCCATCCAGCATCCATTGACAGCCCTGATATCCATGCTTGTCTCAGGACTGGGACAGTATTGTCCACCTGGAGGGAAGATTGTGGAGGGGATCTGATGTTTCCAGTTAGCTGCATTGTTTATTAAGAGTAAAATCTCTCTTTCATGTCATTAAAATATACATTTCAAATTTGTCACTTCTATTGATCTGCAATTCACAGGAGCACATCCTTTTCATATCCCATTGCAGGTGTAGCTTTTACATTTACTTTTGTTACTTGTAGCATGGATTTATATTTTAAATTAGGGACTGGGAAATGACTTCCAGCCTTACCTGCAATTT